GACCTAAGGATAATGACAACACTTAAGGGAATAGGCCAACCAATCCATGTAAAGAGAGCAGGGACAGCCAGAGATGTATTGTAATACACCTCCTGGGGCCCTTTCAAAATGTCAGTACAGCAAAATCAATAGACAAGTAAAAAATCAGTTTAACTCACACAATTCAATTTATGATGGAAATACAATTGGAATAATATTACTAGAATTTGTCAGTCTGGCCCTTGGATTCATAAATCCTTCATAAATTCAATTGTCCTGTCTCTTCTTTGCGCATTAGATGTCACAACAGCTAGCATAAGTACTTAGAAACTTCATTCTTCACCACTCAAGCAGCTATTTGCTCTTGAACAAAGGGACTGAAATTAAATAACAGAAAAAGACAGCATTTTTTTTCTATTCTCCTCTTTGCACTTGCATTATACAAACACATGCCTCATTACATTCTGCACCAAATTAATTCAGCTTTCTTAGCAAAATTCAGGTGAAGCTGTTAAAGCAAGCGTTGTGGAATAATTTATTCTAAAAGCAGATACTAGCAATTTAATAGAAGTTAATAACAAGTTCTATTATCATATCAAAAATTTTAATGTAGTCATTGATTTACACAGATATAACTAGAACAAAGATTTTATCCAATGGACTGACATTCCCATAATTCCATAATTTGTATGTTTCCCTCATTCCATCTTCCTCTCTGTGCCTTTTCTGGCGAGACGTGCATGTTTTTGCATCTCTGCCAACTGCATTGTGTCTTTTCCTTAGCCACTAGCAAATACAAGGTTTCTACACTCCTGGGAGTAAAGTGAATAATTTAGCTAAGCTTTTGTTTGAGATCCACAAGAACTGTGTGAGTGAAACTGTTAATTGCCAGGAATGAGTTCTCAAATTTCTACCAATTTGGAAGAATCTAAAGTTGCTTTATATTCAGGAGCTCTAGCTGTGTCAGTTGAAGTGCTGTTTTTAACATGTTTCTGAATTTGAAAACGATAAAAAGGGAAGAAAATCAAACCTGCATTACTAGAGCTTTCTACTTTCATACTGATTTGTGGTAAAGTAACATGGTTCCTTCTAGACTGTAGACTATTGTAGGAAAACAGCAACAGCATAATCCGTGTTGCAGGAATGAAGCCAAAGGCTCACTAAGTAACACAGAAAAATATTTTTTCTGGTATAAAAAATGTTTATAAAATATTGTTTAAATTACAGAAAACTTATTTTTGTGTTGTATAAAATTATATAAGAAAAACTGTAGGAAAAACTACAAACCCACTGATTTGAGCCCACAGTTATGTCACTTTATATCACAATGCTAATATAAAGTGTACAAAGTGTGCAAGCCATATTAATTTTAAAGTCCTTATACTAACAAAGTAGAAAATGTGGTATGCGATGGCCTTAGTGGTACTGAAAATCAGTGTCTCTTGAATCAAAACTTACCTTTGCTAAGTGCAACCAAATGGTCAGTTAATGGAAGGAGAAAGATGTCACGTAGACCTATTCCCACTAAGTTTTAAACTATTTTAGATATATGGAAGAAAATCATAGAGTACAAACAATTTATTCTAAATTGCACTGGTGTAACTAAATAAAGTTTAAACTTGTTTGTCACATGAAGATGGAAATAATTTCTTTTGATATGAAAGACATCCCAAATACCCAGCAGAGGTGGAAAATGCTATTACTTTTCTAAGAGTACAACAGGCAGTCAGAGAGCACTGTCAAGATATATTTTATTATACTACACATGTCAAAAAAGTGGTCACCTGGACTTGCTCAAGCAAACCTCTTACAGATTTTTGAGAGCACAGAAATGTATCTGAGTGGCACTGACTGTTCAAGTATGTGGGATAAACCCCACATGAATTTGGAGAGAAACAGTCCAAAGAACTGAGCAGATGTAAATGAGGATATCCTGAAGTAATAAGAAAATATCATAAATTTGCAAATAAAGAGGTCCTGGACCAGCACAGTTGTATTGCTCAAGGAACTGGTTTTGTTTCTGTGTGTTCACATGCACATGTGCCTTGTGTGCAGTGCAGATGGTCTGGGTCTAGGATCCAGGAGCAGGTATTGGAGCTAAGGGATTTGGCAGCATAAATTCACCCTGTGATAAAAATGCATTTGTAACATGAAATACCAGCAAGAGCTTATTAGACAGAAATGAAAAATACCTATATGCTGAAGGCATAAGAAACTATTTCTCAGCATGGGTGCAAGTAATTCATACATAGTAAGAAAAGACAGCATGCAGACAGATGAGCAGCAATGATGACAACAATTTTGTGCTGGAAAAAGAAAAAAAAGGAAAAAAAAATAAATATATATACCCGCCAGTATATATTCTGGACATTATTATGTTGTATTTGTAAATCATTCCTCTAAATTATCAAAAGGTATCAGGCACTGACCAGGGACAGAAAATCCTTATCATATATGAAATCCCAGCTAGACCAGGAATGGGAATAAAATGTTGGCCTCCACAATGATTTTAAACGTTAGTTCATATGAAAGATGGTTTTGAATCAGAAATGTGAACAATGAATATCATTTGCATAGGGCAAATACACATTAATGTTGAACTCCCTACATCCCAAAAGTTCCCAGAGGTGATGATACTGCTTGGGTGGAACTGTGGCTGTTCAGTGAATTAATGAGAATTAATTTTGCCCCTGTGCTTGGTAGCTGTGATCATGAGCTTTAGTTTTGCCAGGCCCATGTCTGAATTGGTAAAATTATGCTCTCAATAATATAATAATGTATCTAATAATGTGCTGCAAAAAAATATGTCATATTAATAGTCTGAAAGTGGAAAACATTTTCTAGGAGAGAACTAATTTGAGGGCAAAGGAGATGCTACTGCACTGCAGAAGGGCTGGTTTAGGGACTTGGACAGGCCACAACACCCAGCGTTTTAGGTTCAAATCAGTCCTTGAGTCAGGCAAACTGAACATTAAGCCACTTACCAAGCGTGACCTGTAAAGTTCTACTTGCTTGCATGAACAAGCCCAATATTTAATTTCCTGGTAAAACCAGATACAGATGAACATGAATAATTTCATGCCTTTTGTATCTGACAGCTCTTCATAGCTGGTAAAGAATAGGCTGCTGCTTAGCTATGGTGCCTTTTCTTAAGCTGCTTTTGGACTGTGAGCAAACTGTTGTACCCCAGACATGTTTCCCTGTAACCAAATATGTGGGTGTTTTGCAGAGGTTAATGGAAATTAAATTGAATCTGAATAATACTGATTGTAATGCAAGAGTGTGCAAGCAAAGCTAATTAATACAATTGGCAGCATGGCTCAGTCTTGCCCTGTGACACCATTCTCTCTCTTTCCCTTCTGTGACCCACAGCAACCTAAAGCTACTTCTTTTGTACAGTCTTTAATGGATAGATATACAGCAGCATCCCACGTTTTGCACTTCAGACTTAAATGAGATTCAATCCTCCAGAAAGAAATGAAAAGCTATTATATTCTCCCTTTTTCCTTCTTGCTTATGAACATCCTAGTTCTACCATTAGGATTATAGTATTTGCTGAGTTTTTCTGTGCAAGAAGCTGCTGCAAATAAACTTAGATTTTATCTTGATTAAGAGACCTATGTCAACAAATGAAATTTCTGGTGGACCAGCTCACTTTTTATCTTATGTTAATGACCCGACTTTGCCATTATTTTACCAAAGGGCAGAAAAATAGCTTTTAACTATGGATAGTATGCACAGGTTACCTGAAAAAAAAATAAATTTAAAATCAGACTGCAAGATTTGAAAACTGGAGGGTGGTAACAGGACAGAATGAGATCTTGCATCCCTGCATCTTAGAGTACATCCTTTTTCTTGTTAGCACCTTTTCTACCTGCTTCGCTGAGCCAATTTGGAAATGAGGCATCTGAGAAGGCACTGGTGCAATGAGGGATGCCTGGCAAGGAGGACAATGAGGGTTTAGTTTTGAAACACTGTAGTGTATTCTTCTTTGAGTTCTTCAAAATATTTGCCTCACTATGAAATGAAGTACTGTGTACACATTATTTGTAGCTCATTTAGCACCTCCTAAGCATTAATTTTGGAAATGCCATCTCAGCACATATTCCCCAGAGGCACAAGTGGAATAGAAGAGTCCATTAAATTTAAGTTTCGTGGCTTTAAGGTACTGTCTGATCCCAGATTTTGAAGCATCCTGTTTGTAGGGTTCCCATGGGCTGTTACATGCCTGACTGCTGGACTATGGCTTCCTTGTGTCCCTAAATCCTTTTTGGTTTTTGGCACATCTGAAAGCCATTCCTTTGATACTATTCTTCCTTTTCCACAGGAAACAAACCAGTTGCTGTGTCAGCATCCTGGCCAGGAATCAAAGAGAAAAAGCTACTTGTCAGGCAACACCCAGGGCACAGACAATTAGGATGGGGATGATATTTCAGCAAGAGCTTTTCTGGTAGTAAGGAAAAAAATATAATCAAAGTTTCATGCAATTTTGGAAAAAATAATAAGTGTCATCTGTAAAAGTTATGAGTTTATTTTTATGGCAGAGCTCAAACAACACTACAGCTACATTTCCATTCTGTGCTCTCCCGTTCAGGTAGGAATAAGAGATTTTTTTAGCTATGTATTCTAGTTGCCTCATAGTTGCCTCATGGCATCTTACTAGAGAAAGTGTCTCAGATTCCCAGCATCTTCCACTTTAGCCATGAGAGCAACCACAAACTCTCCCATTTATAATTACAGAGGTACAACTGTATTTTGACCTCATAATCCCTCTTTGGCACATACAATTTCATATGTGAATAGATGTATTTTATCTTCTTTCATATGACCAGTCCATGAGCCACAACCTGAGGACATCAGATACAGAAATATTCTGATTCCATGAAGAGCAGATGTGGGAACCATTCATTATACCTTTGCAATCTTTGATCTCAGCTTTAAAAGCTAACCCAACCACAAACACGGGAATGTGAAACACATGAAGCAATAAACAGACACTTTAAAAATTTTCTTTATTTTAATTTTCAAATTTAAGGTCAATCTTCATTAATTTGCAGAGAGTACAAAAATGTTCCCGTTAGTTTAGTTTTAATTTAGATGTATTTATAAATAAAACTAAGCCTGCTCTTTCAAATATCATTTCTGTGCACAAATTATATAGCTCATTCTTTTCATAAGGCATGTAAAACAGATTTCAGTTCAAACATTAAAATACTTTACACTTGGGTATCAGAATTACAAACAGAAATTAAAGGTTCTCAAAAAAATGTGCCTGAACTGCAGAAGTACACACTAAAGGCATTACAATATACACATGCAGAGACATGCACAAATATATATCTATGTATATGAACACAGGAAGATCAAAAATACCTGTGTCCTGGTTTTTAAGAAATCTCAGTCATTTAACTAACAAGAATGCATGTTTGACGCAGTACTCATATATTGCTTACACAATAATTATAGTTTCATATTTACGTCAGTACGAAATCATTTCAGTCACACAGTAAAATTGTGTGTCTTCCAGTCAATGTCCTAGAGTGATGCTGAAATGATGAAATACATTAAAGAATCATAAGGGAGAAGATGAAGGAATAGTGCAAGATAAAGCAGTACTGAGTCTTTGAGGAGATTTATTTGCCTCATGATGGGTCAGGAACTGTAAATCCTCTCTCTAGACAATATCCTCTTTCTTTTGAATGATTCCATTTCTCACATAGTGGAAGAAGATATATCAAGATATATAGGAAAATACTATGTATATATTGATTTGGAATTGTGGAAACATGACAAAGTTCCTTTCTGTTTAAAACCTGAAGTTAGATGAATCATAAGAACTCACCATCTGTTGGCAAATCATTTCAGTAGAAAGTGTGTTGTTTCAGTGTGCCTGTAGAAATCTTCATGTGCAGCCAAGGGACATCAAACAAATTATGTGGCGATAATGTCTTCTTGGGGAAAATTACATTTCAAAAAATCCTGGCGTATAAGACAGAGATGCCCACAGGTCCTTTATCTGAAAGTAAATGTCTTTTAACATGGTTATTTTATTTGATGTCTTTGAGCCATTTATATCTTAAAGATGATGCTCAAAGAACAGACTCTGTAAACACCCTCATTTCTAAGAAGGCCACCTGGAGTGAAAATGTCCAGATGATTCTGCTGGCTTGCTTCTTCCACTAAAACCAGCACAGGAATCCATTGTGAGGACTTTAAATTAATTGTCTAAAGTGGTATAGACTAGATTCTGTCACACTGATTATACAGAGTGGTATATTATTTTATAAACAAATTGATTGCTTCTACTGGTGGTTATCTCTAGTAGAAGGAAAGTAAACATAAGTATATCCCAATCTGTGTACAGAGGCAAGATCCACAGCTCCACAGCATCCTCTTAGTTTTATTAAGGTCATTGGAACTCTGCACATCAAACACTAAGAAGTCACCTAGGACATAATGTAATTTCTTTTCAGTTACTGCCTAATGAATAAGAACAATAATGTATTACATGAGGAATGTGTATAAAATTGCTTGTTACTAAACATGGCTTTTACCACAGAAGTTGGATCCAATCTTTTGAATGTCATAAAGTTGAGTTTCAGTATATAAACAGGTTCAGAAATGTTATCATGAGCAGTCCAGGACAGGCAGCATCCACCACTCTGCAGCTGCCACCCTGATGGGGAATGTGGTCAGCATGAGCAGGTCTGTGCTATTGCCCAGATAATTGTGGACCAAGGCCATCTCCTGCAAACCATCCTGTAGCATCTCATGCTCAGAGTACAAGACTCAAGAGCTGCCTCTGTGATGGCTGCTGGCATGAGCCAGGGCTGCTTCATGGGCCATGCAGCTCATGGGCTGCTTCTGTGGTGTGCCCCAAGCCATCTGACAATCTGGTCAGCACATCATCACAAAATAGTTTCTCAGCTAATAAATAATCTCACTGCCAACTCCTTTGTTCTTGCATCTGCCCGCTCAAATGTGGTATCCACCCAAGGCCACAATCTCTGGAAGAGCTTCTCACAAAACAAACCTTCTCTCTTGCCTTCCTTCAAAATCCTGTTTACCTTTAAACACATCAGGATCATTATTCACTTTCTGTAGCCCTCTTGTATCATACCAGTTTGTACTGCACTCTGTCTGCAGGTATATCCTTTCAGAATATACTATGGTATGCAAAATTCTGGCTCTAACTCTGGATTCCAGTTTGCCTTTTTGTTGGAGTAATTAATAAACAATTCCTATTGCAGAGACTTGTACAACAAGGAAAACAACTTGCACACCTAAGCAGCAAGCTATTAAAGTGATCCTAATCCAGAATAAACTAGGGTTCAGTTCACAATCCTATTCATACTTGTTTTCCTGTTTTGAGTAGCTCTTTTACATGGCCCTTTAAGGATAGTAATATACATCCATGGATGTATATATACGTATGTATATATATATATATTTATGTATGTAGATCTGATAGGGGAGGCAAATAAATTTACCTCTTTTATCTTCATAAACATGCAAAATCACAGAGAATATATATTATTACTTCCATATTAAGAAGTAGTATGTTGAATTAATTCCTAGACTTTACTATACTGAACATTTATAATCCTTTTAGAAAAATATGTTTGTGATAATCATGGAGTACTATGCTCACATTGTATTGAATAAGTTCTGTACAGTGAATGAATTATATCCTATCAAAGAAATTTAATTTTTTGAACTGACATTAGAATATGACTTTAAAAACTGTGGTTATTTTCATGTGATGTTAATGGTAACTTTTTTCCAAGTCAGACTGGGCTTCAACATAATCAGAGGGGCATTTATAAAACAACCAAGTAGCCATAAGTCTACTTACCAATTAAGAATAGGACCTCCAAGTAAGGCTGATCAAATATGAATGTTACTGGTTTTAAGACTGAAATTATGTCAACATGAACAATAAATTAAAACTAAGTAATTGAAAATTTAATATTTAGAAACATTACTGTATGACTTAACTGTACATAACCAATACAGATAGCTGGAAAAAGATTTTTTTTAAAAAATATTTTTTCAAAAGTGGAAGATTAGACTTTAGTCTCACTTTCTTCAGATGTCTGGGTTTGTGTTTTAAAAATGTGAGTGCTTTAAATGAACTCTGTGGGTTTGAATGTGCACACCCAAAACCCCTTTATGACTAAAAATGCAGATTCATTTGTTCATTTCCTGATTTTAATTACAATGAGCTGTACCCCTTACTATCCAGCCTCATCTTAACAGCAATGCAGAACAGGACGTACACAAGGGATAACATAGGAGTTAGAAAAAAACAAATGTCATGAATTTCTGTGTATGTCTGTGTAGTGCCACTGCTTTAGACAAACAACATCTGAAGATCCTGCAGTAGTTCCCACAAGACCTGCTGCTGGAGGCACTCAGTAGCAGCTGCCTACTGTATTCAACCTGGAACACCTAGAGATCTTCATGTCTTCAGTGGCTGGCATTTAAAGTGCAGTGAAGCTTTGTTGAGTCCATCCTCACCTGCAATTTTCTTCATTAGTTGGCACAATTCTTTGTTTTTCTTCTGTCACTTTGTCTGATGCCTTTCGTAACGTTAATGGGCACTTCTTGCGTGGACATTTTCTGTATGTCCCATTTACTCTGTGAGAGTTTTAAACAGTAAAGTGAGTTCCACAATGACAACAGAAAGACTCATTGATGATTAACTCCTAATTTATAAAAACAGTTCTACTTAATAAACAGAATGCCTCCAGCATCCTTCACACGGCACTGTGATGCAGAAGAACTTGCTCATTCAGCGTGGACCGAGCTTTTATATCTGCTACAAAGGCACTGGATGTCAGTAGGCTTTGGATCAACTTTTTTGTCTATAATTATCATCTCTGCATGTGTGTACTATAAAAGCAGGGCAAATAAATCTGGTTCCAGTCCAGAAGTGGAAATTAGAGGTTCCTTTTGATGTCACTGTGAGTAGTGCATCACTAGCCTGAGACAGAATTTTCTGTACTCGATTTTATATTTCTGATGTGAAAATACAGTTTTAAAGTAACACTTACTTCTGCCTGCATACAAGACCCAAGCACAATATATACCGTTCAGAGCTTCATCAGTTTGTTTTCAATATTAAAAAATGTCAGTCTGTCTGAGGCATGCAAGTGCATCCCTAATTTAAGTTTATACTTTTCCGTCTCCCAGACTGTCTGCTTGTTGCCATAAGCAATGCACATAATGCACAGGAAATTGGATAGGTTTGACAGATCTGGGCTGATAGAGACACACAGCTGAGTTGGGTGGGTTTGATTATTGCATTGTCAGTGTTCCATGAGACTATTTGTCACTGTAAGGAATGCCAGGTAAATTAGGCATTATTTACACCGTAAGAGTTCTAGGTAAAATAATGTCAGATAAAGGTCTGACACTGACATAAGTGCAAGGTACATATATATGACCTGGCATTAATTTGCTGCTGTGTATTGTTTCAACTTTCTGCAGCCTGAATGCACCTGCTCATTTGCTATCTGCTCTCCCAGTGCTCCTGTTCATGCAAGTACTTGCCAAAGATTATAATGAGAATTAAACCAGATTATTGTCAATCAGGGACATAATCTGGATACCACCTTTTTTGGGAGACATACCTGACCAACCCGTTACCTTCACTGGTATTAACACTCCTTTTTTTATTATCATCTTCATCATCCTCCTCATCATCTTCTAAATTGTTTTGACATTACCATCATGAGAAGATAATAAAGTTTCCCAGATACAGTCAGTGTCAAAAGTTTTCCCTTTCAACAGCACAAGTCATAACCAAGTGTCAAGGGATAAGGCAGATGGTTACTTTAGAGCTTGATGCAGGAGAAAGTGAGAAACAGAGAGGTGACATGATTTATCCCCAGCTAACCCACAGGTTGATGGCACAACTCAACTCTTCCGAGGGCACCATGTGCTGCATTGCGCTGTATTCTATAGCATGTTGAGATAAAAGAAAAACTGTAGTCAATGTGAATGTTCAGGTAAATAAAATTGAGTTGCAGGGCATAATCAGCTTTTCAACTCTAGGCATCTAAACTTAAGGTGTTTACACTATATGCACATCTTATGGTTCCCAGAACAGTGGAAAAACGGAGTTGCAGAATGGCAGACCAGAGCTGGAGCCTAAATTAAATATTACACTTTCTCTCCAGGCATATATATATATTTTTTTTTGACTACAAGAAGTTTAGACACCTTCCTTTCTTATGCACCTGCATTAGATGTGGAGATTGCAAATGTGGTAAATGTTTTAGTTATCATCAGAAATTATCTTTGCACTGAGCTGCAACTGCACAGATACATGTTACTGAATATCTCTCAGCTAGAAAATGCAGGGTGATATCTTCAGTCATGGGGCCTCAGGGCAGGCACCCACACTTCACTGAGAAGTACCATTAGAGTCAACACTCACGTTATTAATGTGTTGTGGGAATATGCCCATACTTCCTACTAAGTGCAATACAGAAGTAATTTTCCCTTCAATTACAAAATTAGACCATTTTCTCAAACAGTAGGACAGGTGCACCGTGTAATTATCAATTGTGACCAAGTCTTTTTCAAAATGGTTTAATAATTATGTAGTTCTGTTCAACCATATCCAACCTCACCAATTAAAATTTCTCTGTGAGCTAGTGGCTATGACAAGCATTTGGGCTTTTAATTTACAGAAGTCCCATGGCTCTAGATGTCATGCTGCTGTGGAATGTGTCCCTGCCCACCTGGAGGTGCAGTATGTCATGAAAAGATACAGCAGCATCTTTTATGTCACCTGGGAATATCTTTGTACCATAGCAATACAAAAGATGGTATAAAATAAATAGACCCGTACTGATGTATTGTGTGTTAGCAAATGCAAGGTGAAGTTCAATCCAAATTCCCTTTTTCATTTGCTCAGACCCCTTGGTTTAAGGATGTGACTCACAAGGGGGGACAACTTATGAGGTGGGTGTAGCCATTCTGCCACGTGCTGTGCTGAGGCACTTTCTGTGGAAAAATGTCAAAGGACAAAGCTCAGCCAGAAGGAGTGCCCACATTGGAAGCAATTCAGCAGAAACAAACAGTGCATGCCTGAGGAGCAGGGACACCAGGGGAGCTTGTTTCATGTCTGAGAGAGGCAAGAAGCAAAGAATGGAATTGCACAGAGGTGCTGCAGTCAGTCTCTGTTTAAAACACTGCAACTGATGGTAATTAAGCCAAAGGAATGACCCAAATTGTGACCAAAAGCTGAAATTTGCCTGAACTTGAAAATACATATTCCTTTTCATGCCCCACCTATGCTAACAAAGTAAAACCTGTACAATCTTTACAAGTATATAAAGTCACTCAAACTCCATTTAAGCGTGAAATTATGTCAACTACAACTTTTTCCACCATCCTCAAAGAAAACAAGATAAATATGACTTAACAGGGGAGGGAGGTCAGAGGAGACTCTGCCTTTGTGTCCTGGGATGGTCAACAGGCTGTACTCTCTCCTCCCCCATGGGGCCGCCTGTCAGGGAAGCTTTATTCTGCAGTAATCCCATTGCTTATGCATTCTGATCTCAGTGCATTTATCAACAGCAGTTTGTGGACATCATTCTGTCCAACAGGCCAGAAATTGCACTGCTTGTGAATGATCTTACTGACTTTGCCCAGACTTAAGTGCAATGCATGCCAATTTTGCATCAGGGACTGTGGTCGTGTCCAGACTTACTCTGCTGCCACACTGTGCCTCTGGCACCTCACCAGGCTCAGAGTTACTCTAAAATACTGGTTACTCTAAAATATTGTCCATGAAGGTCCCCCAGGCTCTCAGACAGGCAGATAATACTAAGTAAGAAAGGGAAGGCCCCCAGGCCAGCTACATCTGCAAACAACGCGGGAAACAAGGGGGGTGTGTGTCTCCCTTACATGATTTTTTATGTGATGGAAGAATTGGTGAAGTCAGCAAGTTTGCCGGGGATAACCAGCTACAGAAATATGAATGTGCTCCTTCCCAGGCAGGAAAGGAATTGGCCCAAAAATCTGGAAAGACAAAGCAATTACGTGTGCAGTATTGGAGGTGCACTAATCTTACATGCAAAAGGGAACCAGAGTCCTTCTTCCCTCAAATATATCATCTATAGAACATGCTGCTTTGAAATCAGAAAATGGAGTATTAAAGTCATGACTGGCTTTCAAGAGGGAAATAAAAGAAAAATCTGAAACCCAAAAACAAGCTTATAACTGAGAAAGATCATTTTAAGATTCTACTTGCTTCAGCAGAGCATAGAGAAAGACAATTACTGAAGAAATTAGGTTGGAAAAAATCATAGCACAGTGAAACAAAATCTGAGAGAGGAAATAGAGGGCAGGAAAACAACTGAATTGTTACTATCTTTGGAAACTGAGCAGCTGCACAAACAGTTACAGAAAGAAAAGGAGATAAAGCAAAACCTGGAAGAAAAGGTAAAAATTATGCTCAAGAGGGCTGCCAATCCAGCCAGCATTGTACAGATAAGAAAACCAATTTTGTTTCCCTTGGAGAATGGTGAAAAAGCCTAGGGGACAGTGGCCACTCACCCTTGTCTGTGGGAGACTGAATGCCAATATTACTACTTTAACTACTGCTGTGCCAAATTTTGTGAAGCTGGTAATGCAAATTCAGGGAGCATGCTATTCACGAAGGGCAAAACTAGATGTAATAGATGTTATTTATGATTCCACTCTGGGAACACCTCAAGGCTCAATTCATGCTCACCCGGAAGGGAGTGCTGTGTACCTTGGACAGTTTCCCACAGGGATATAAACATTCACCCATGACTGCACATTCTGTGATTGCCAAACTTTTACAGTCTCACTCTCCCCAGATGTGAAATTAGATTATATTGTAGTAAGAGGAGACTCCCCTGAAAAAGTAGGGGAAACAGCAACAACAGCATGGCACTTCTCAAAGTAGAAACTGAGATTCCCCAAGAAATGCTAAGGACCACGTAAAGGACTTTATCTGCTACATCTGCAGATAACCCAGAAAACAAGGAAGTCTCCTTTCCCCAGTTTTTTACCTAACACCTTTTCATATGAGAAACCAAGGAAGCAGTAAACCAGCCATAGATTTTGGCTTTCTGTTATCTGCAGCAGCTCAGCAGCTGCTATGCAAAGAGGGCAACAAGTGGAAACCTGTAGGAGGCAGATGGGTGGGAAGGCAGTTGTGACAGGAGAGGGCTCATCTTTGGTATAGCCCCATAGCCTTGTTCTTACAATGTATACAAGGTACACAACACATAAGAAAGGGGGAAAAGGGAGGAGGATCTGATCCAAAGCCTACTGAAGTTATTGAAAAGACACACAATGACTTTTTCAAGCTTCATATCTAGCTTTGAATGAATCAGGGTTCATGCAGTGCCCATATTTTAAACAGAACAGCAATTAAGGGAGAACATGTTCCTTTTTGGATAATTAATCTAAATAGTGTGCATGATACATGCCATAGCTGGACTGAGTTGGAAAGAAATGAGTGTGGGGGCATTTTTACTGTAGCAAGTGTGTGTGTTACTCTGATTGACAAATTAAACATCAATGCTGTGGTCATTCAGGCATGAAGCACTGCCAGGGGTGCTCAGTTCAATCATGCCACGGCTATAGTGCAGCCTGGCACCATTTACTCATAACTCAAGACATTAAATACAGTTTCACTACAAAGAGAAAGGCTGTCACAAAAGCAACTTAGACCTTGAATTTGAAGAAAGTGCTGGGCATTAGGAAGCATAATTATACTCATACCTCTGTGGTCCTGAAGCCATTCTGTCTCTGTGTTGTAGTTCCCATGCTGTTAACTATGGTGTTTGCACACTGAGAGCCACAGTTGTTCCTCTTCTCAGCGCTCAGCATTCCAGCTGTGGCTGATGCTGTAGATACACCTGTGTGAGCCAACTTCCCATCCTCCAGAAGACCTGGTAGGGACACATGGAATTGGACAATTAATACTGAGGAGCAATTTGTAGCTGGCTCTGGCATCCCTCTATTTTGCCACATTTTGTGATTGCATTGGTGATGCAAGGTGTGGTACAGTACCACAGTGAGAGCAGTCTACCTCCCTGAGGCATCTTCATCCTCACATTTGACATGATTTGGTCTTTTTTCTATGGTCTACTGCTCTGTGAAACATTGGCTCAGAAAACTTGGAAAAACAGTCAATGAGTGCAGCATATCAGTAGATTTTTGTCACCTGCAGGTCTCCACTGACTTCTCTACATACACACACATCATTGCAAGGCTGAGAGTTGAACTTTAGACCCAGAGAAGGCCACCTTAAACCTGTTCCAGTTCTGGGAAATGAAGGGGTTAGATGTGAACATGACAGATGAGACAAATATGGATGGAAAGGTATGTGCTAAGGAAATTGTTCTGTGCATGGCCTTGCATTGAATATTTTTTCATTTGAAGTTGAGAAATTGAAAAAATATTTATTTCATGTTTCTTTATCTATCAGCAATCAAATAAATGAGTAATTTGCTTTCTGCTCTAGCTGTGTGGATACACAGGCATCGTACGATATGATATTGAACTGCATAAATTAATTTTCCCATCTTACTGCATTAACAAAAATCAGTTGTCATTTATAGTGAGTGCAGGGCACTCAACATCTGGTTGCAGCACTGGGTCTGAAATCCAAATACAAGGAGTAAGTGGGATGCATTACTGTTGCTCTCTAAAATAAAAAAATTTAGTTTTTGTCAAAGATTATTTATGAAGAGCTTTATGTCAAAAGAGTAAGAAAGAAGGCAAATTTACTAACTGGTAATGCAAGTGTCAAACCTAGAAAAATTAAGTAGTCACAGACAGTTAAGTGAGAAAAAGTATGTGGAAAACCAATACCAAACCTTTGCTGTATAAAGTGACATTCTGTCACCAAAACCTTCTGCATTAATCAGGTAGGAATTCAAGTGTTGTGTTAAAGATATTAAAAAGGAAGCAAAGTCCTGAATTCTATTTCAGAAATCTGTAGGAAAAATGATTTGTCAATAGAAAGCAACATTTGTCAGTATTAGCTAGCAAAGACAATGACTGAATTCAATGAAGTTTCACCCAAATATTCAAAGCCTTGGTTGAAAATATATAACATTTTGTGAAATTAAGAGTTAAGGAGTCTGAATACCAACTAGTCACTGCATTTCCCTGAGCAGTCAGAAGATGGAGGCAGAGTATTCCAGAGACATTTTAGCTTGTAGTGGTGGTAACTAATAACGCAGTCATCTAGCTTTTGATAGAAAAAAAAATAGAGATGAAAAAAGAAAATACTATATTATAATCTATTTTTTGAAAAACACTTCTACCTTTGGAAACTTCTTTTTCTGCCAGATATAAAATCTGATGTTGTTCACATGTCTAAGTTTAGATGCAATTTCAGTAAGGCAGCAGTAAACCTCACCTCTCCTACATCTCTCAGAATTCCCCACCTACCTATGTTTTAGGTCTTACTTCTTCCTATTTCTCCACAGGGCAGTGGAGGAGAAGCAAAAAATGACTTGGTGAGGAGCAGTAAGTGGCATAGGCTGATATCTTAGACAAGAGCAGTTGTCAGGAAGGGAGATGGAGAGGCAATGAGCCATGTGTGAGTCAGAGCTCTCAGCCAGGAGTCCACTGCTTCACCTTGCGGTGCAACTCTGAGAACAAGCTTGGGCACAGCTTTCAACAGGCAGACTGCACTAGGAATTACATACTAATTCCATTCATTGAGTCTTTGACATTTCAAACATCCAAATTATGAGTTTTTCCTTCTCTGGAGTCATCCTACGAAATTACTTTCCACCATGTGTCTCTTTGGCCATCTGGCCTCTGACTAAACTGTCTGGTTGAAACAGCTGTCAGCTAAGCCATTTTGTTATTAAGTATAATTGTTCATTTATCAGACTGTGTTGCATCTTTTGGTCTTGCATAGAAAAACATTTCTTACATGAATCCATTTCCAGAGGCTGATGGAAAATGTCAATCCTGAAAATGGTATCTCTGGTTCATTTTTTTGTCTCCATTAGTTTGCAGCCTGAGCATACTTGCTGCATCCCGCATTGCAGGGGTGTGACTTTTTTTATACTTGTCAAATATAAACCAGGCATCAGTATTGGAGCCTTTCAGTATCACTACTGTATCTTTATATGGGTGACCTAGTGGTCACCAATACTAGGCAAAAATAATTTTTATTTTATCCTGTAATATGTCCTACTGCAAAGTTAAGAAACTATTTTACAATTTGTTTTCATTAGCAAATAGATGATTTAGACAGTGGGCAACAGTTTAATGGTTTCAGTGACTTGCTCTTTATGTATGAACACCAAGAAGAAATTGCTGTGAGAATACATAAGCAGTGGTGTTAAGAACACAAGATTTGTTGGCAATCCATAAACCAACACCTATTTTATAGACTAGATACATAACACAAAATGATTGCAAAAGGGAGATGATGTTAAAAAAGGATTAGGAACACATGGTTGCTTTTAAAATAGCAAATATTTTTGCATTGCTATTTAGGATTTGGCACAGCACACAAAAATGAAGAGTTAACTCTATTATGTACTATCTGGAACTTACCAGCCAGCAGGGTGGCTTTTCTAAGGGTCTTGCCTCATTGTGATTTAAAACAAGAAAACAGTTGAGATATTTATGCCATCCTCACAGCAGGAGTTTGGTAAATAATCTCCTTGGTCTTTCATGGGAGAGCTTCAGTTTACATCAGTGCTGTTAAATCACTGTAGACGTTTAAATGAACAGGTTCAGTAATATTGTTTTCATTCTCATCTTCTCTTTCATGTCGTCCCTGACAAAAGTCTGTGGGCCCCTTTAGACCAGGAGAAACAACAGATCTCAACTCAATTCTCTGTCAAATACACATATTTTACTTTCAAAGGAACTGGCAAGGCTACAATATTCTGAAGGCTCTGTTCCCAAAACCTGGTTTCTGGGTGCTTATTAAATGCTCAAGAGTGTGATGGTGAAACTTCCCTCAGGAATGGCTGGTCGGGGTTTGGGGGCTGCCAGGCCGCTGTCTCTGTGGGGAGGATGACAGTGACAGCTATTTCATTGCACATCATCAGGTTTGTTTCTGAGGAACATACACGAGTTCTCTCTCAATGACCACAGGGAGAACACTCCTGCAGCAGCCCCATTGCTCACAAATCCACATTTCCAGCACAAAGTGTTGTCACACAAGTTCACAAAGAACTTGTCCTCCCATGGCAATGCTTACCAGCACCTTCCTCTTTGCTTGCTGGACTGCACAGGCACACTAAGACTTGCCTCACTTACCATGCCAAGAGAAATCCTTTAGGCTGGAGTTTGACAAATGCTTTTTTCAGCAGCACCAGGGGAAAAAAGGGTTATTTTCATCTGAAATCAATCCTAGACTTCATTCTTCCCCCAATGACGCAAGCAGTCAGACTGGCACAACTTGGGAGGCAGCACAGGAATCAGAGCAAGCAGCTGAAAGCAGCTTAGGTTGGTGTGCTTGTCAACAAAACAAAACAAACATGGTAATTTTAAAATTTCTAATGGGTTTTCATAAATTGCCAGACAGCATCATCCCAATTTTGTAGTAGGAGATAGATATTTAAAGTTGCAGTCTGAAAAACTGCTCACAGATTTGCAAGCTTATGTCCATTCTAAATGCTTAAATCATGTACCTCTAACCCCCCACCCTACACACATTTACATGGGGAGGGAGCTGTCTAAAAAAGCTTTGAAAAGTAAATAGGAAATAGTAAATTAGTAAATAGGGTGTTCATCACAGAGAAGTTAGTGAAAATGTAAAATACAGAATGAAAATTTAAGATATTAGACCTGTATTTCTTATTTTTTCTGGTTTCTTTTATTATAATGACAACACTAATGATAACATAACCAAGGATAAACATTGCATGCATGCTGCTCTAATTCTCCATACAGCCTGGTTACACCTAAGAATTATTCTTTATGACAGATTTCATAAAGAGGAGAGGAAATTTTTACTCTTAAGTCTTTCTAACCAGATTTTTGTATGAAGAATTTTGTATCACCTTTGTATAAAGATGATGTGAAAAGGAGGGAAATATTAATTAATATATAATTAATGGTATGATTATATAATTGTAATATAACTATATAATATATATTATCTGATTACATGTAATATAATTATATATTATTATTATAATACGTATATAATTATTATGGTATCGTAATATAATTACGTAATGATATAATAATAAAATAATTATATAATGATTAATAATATAATCAATTCAATTTGTGAAAGTAAATCTGGTCTAAAAAGCAAAGCTGTGTCATGGATTGACATCTGGCACAGAGAGATAGAAAAGAGATCATGGGGGAACAATTTTGTAGTCCTTAAGTATCAGGAGCACAGGAAACTTCTCAAACCACAAATAACACATAGGTAGGTCTGTCTGGATCTCCTGCATAGACTTCATCAAAAGAGATAATCTTAGTAAGGTTCAAGATGACCTGAAAATTTTGGTGACTGAGAAAATCAGCAATGCTGCAGTAGCTAATGCTGTCAAGAAGTTTGGGCAGGGTATGAAGCCTTGTAGTAAGGAGACAAAGTTCATCTTAGCCAAAAGAATCAATTATTTGTGGAGAAAATTATTCCATGTGTGTTTGCCACAATATTCTCCCACTTCATTTTAAAGCAGCAGGTGACCAGAACAGGACATGAATTCTGACCCAAATACACTCTAGATCTGACCCAGGACCCATGAGACCCTGAGCTGTCACATGTTCAGCTATAGAATCACAAGTTTTGTTTTAAAGCAGGTAGCTGTTGATTAGTGTGCTAAATTTATACCTTTGAAACTGACTACAAGCAAACTGTAGGGTTCAATTTTCTAGTTCAGCAACACCCTTTTTTATTTATCATGACTGTTATGCATAATGCATAAGGTGCTGGTTTAGAAAATGCCTG